AGGTTCCCCGACCTCCTTTCATCTTCTGTTGTCCTGCACGTTCCTGTTGTCCCGTCCCGCTTCCGGTGTTACTCGTGCTCTCCTCCCCGTTACGCGGCTTTCTCCACGTGTTTCCGAGTCCCCAAAGTCGTTACCGAAGTGGTTGGTTAGCGCTTCGCTGATCACGGGCAAGCAGCCCCGGGTTCTGCTACCGCCGTTGCCGAGAAGCTGCGTAGCGCTGGTGGCTTCCCTGTGATGCGGCTCAAAAAAGAGCGAGGCAGGGGACGCCGTGAGGTCACGTTGGGTGAGCTGACTTCGGGGTCAGCGGTGTTATCAGAAGTACTGTCCCTCCTCACCTGCAGGGAGGGATGCAAGCAGGAGCACCCCTTTCCTAACGCAGCACCGGTTTTAAGCACAGGGTAGCAGTGAGCTGGGGCAGGCGGGTGTGCGCGAACTGCCCTCACGTGCATGGGGAACAGGTGCTGAGCTAAACGTGCTTCGGTCGTACAGGAGACTCAAATGGTGACCTGTGGGAATGTTTCCTTATAGGCTAAGCTCTGCAGAATTAGGACTAAAGTCTGCATGGCACCATCTTTTGGGAGATGTCTACAAAATGAGCTCTGGACAAGGTCATGGAAAAAGGAAGATGCTCGCCCACGCTGTTTTTTTTGTACGTGGGAGTGTTTGGAGTCACAAAACTGGCGAGTTAATGGTGTTAATAATTTTCTTGGGAGACAGCGAGTGCCATCTGTGTCCCTGTGCCATTCGGCCCCTGTTGCTCTCTGGCAAAAGGCTGTGGATGAGAAAACAGAAAAGTTCACACTGGTCTACAGGTTTCCGGGGATTAAGTACTGCAGGATGCTGTCCAGGTTGAAGCTGTTACAGACTGCCACCACCATGGTCATGCTGCCTCCCATCTGCTACCTCTATCTGCAAGACCAGGTTTCTCAGAACATCCTCTTGTATACAACTGGCATTGCGCTCTTTGCTGGCGCAATGTTGTATGGTATGAGCTACTTTTTCAGACGGATTATTGGATTAATCTATGTAAGTGACACCGGCCGTACTGTCAGAGTGGCCCACTTGACGTTCTGGGGAAGACGGAACGACATTTACTGTCCCGTGGAGACAGTGATAACTTTGGATGAAGTTGGAGACAGCAAGGGGGAGCTACTTCTCCAGTTCAAACGGTATAATAGTACAGATATTTTATATTTTACGCTCAAGTATGGCCAGATCGTAGACAGACAGAAGTTTACTCAAATATTTGGAGAACTTGAGTGATACAGCAGCTGATTTCCAGTGATTTTCCTTGTTGCATGTTCATTGTGCTTATTCTTCCGTGAAGTTTAATTATTTTACCAAACTGACTGCTTCTGTCATTTTCCTGTGCAGTGCCTGTGAGTAAGCGCACTCGGTGTAGAAAGTAGAAATGGTAAAGAACAATCCACTGGATTACATGTCTTTGCAGCTTGTTTAAGGTGCGAGCAGCGTCTCTTCTGTCTTGGATATGGTGATGTGCAGTTCTAAATCTGCATGGAATGACTGCTGCTGACCCTGACTGTTTCAGCTGGCCTCTTAGGCTGTTTTTAAACAGGAAGAACTCTCCAAGGGAAACGCAGTGACTCTGCCAGAGCACCCTCATGTTGAATTCGTTGTTTCTCGTGGTGCGTTTTAGGTTGACTAGGAAGCCTCTTGAAATTCAAACTTCTCATACACACGTACGCTGAGTAATGCTGGGATGTCAGAGCGACGTGCTCACGCGTTAATGAAACAGAGGCAACTAGGAAGAGCGATGGGTAACGCTGTGTGGGGTCTCGTGGCAAGGTCTTCCAGGAGGTGAATGTAACTGGGGGAAACAAGGGTGCACGTTGCAAGACACACTGACTGTTCAGCTGTAAGGGTTGAAGACTGGGACAGCATTTCAGGAGCCTCTCACAGAAACTGCTTTCCCATTAGAATAAGCGAAGAACCTACCAGAACTATGGTGCTGTGGATTACAGGGACAGTGTGTGATCCTTTGTTCAGTTTGGATCCTAATGAGTATCTGAAAATTTGGAACTACTTGTCTTTGCATATATTCATGTTTGTGTTTGCTTTTTGTGTACGAATGACGTTTTATCAATGCTGTAACACTTGAGTTGCAAAAACTTCAGTAAATGCTGCCAAAATTATCTTAGACTGTGTGACTTAAGCAGTCTTCTGTGACAATTACCATTTAGCCTGGGAAACAAGTCATTTGTGTCCCTTGATGTGTTTACTGATTTGGGTGTATTTGAACATCAAAAGCCCTGTTGCCAGCTGCCCTTTCCACTCCCCACCCCTCCAGTCTGGGTTTACCTCAAATGAAAAAATGGTCAGACACCTAACGACTGTGTTGAATTAAGGGTGAAAACACGTGTACTTTGTCTTCTGTTGAACTTGAAGGTTGGTCACCTCAGCATCTGTGTCCATGAAGGACAGTGGTCTTATTCTGTAGTGTTAGTATGATTCTTCCTTTTCCAAGCCCAGCATCTCAGTAGGAATGAGGAGCAGTAGTTAAACCTGACACAGAATCAAACCTGATCACTTGTGACATGTAAAACTTTTTCTGAATCGTCAGAAGCAAGTTAACTCCTTCCAGTGCTCTTTTGGCTGTTACTTCATTTGAAACAACGGCAAAAAAGTGACCGTCGCCAGTGGAGCAATTTGGAGTGTTCTTTTCCCTGTTTCTTCCTCACTCGTATGGAAATCTGTCTCTTGGTGGATCAGCAATTGCAGGCAAGTAAAATCGCCATTTCAATGCACGGTGTAACCCTGATTTACTGTTTATTCGTGTTGACCTTTTCCTAATGGGGGCTCTGTTATTTTAAATTTTGGCTGATACTGTGTGGTACAGCAGCATCAAAAGGAAAAGAGAAATATTCCTTGTCTTAAAACATCATGGCAGAAAAATACAGCGGACTGTAGGCATACAGCATGGGTTCTGGAGGCTTATCTCCATAAGAATTTAACATGCACTAATGAGTCCGTTTACATATAAAAGTTTAGGTGTAAATGAAAAGCCTTGGAGTTGTTCAGTTATAAATATTTTATTTAAGAATATTGATTACACATGAGATGTCATTTCTTATGAATCTGTGTACAGTTACTAGTTACACCATGAAGTGCAGTTAAGGAGTTGTTTAAACATTTATTTGGCACTGTCCACAGTATGCTGTAAACAATAACAACGTTGTACGCTTCAGCTGCAGTGCTTCCTACGTGTTGTCTAACGTGAGTTCATCAACGTGTTGTACACAGTTATACAGTTACTGAGTGTCAGTAAAAATTATAAAAACACCTAGAGTATTCATCATAAAAGTGAAGATGTGGTAAGACTTCAAATTACTGGACCTTTGCTTCTGTAAAAGTACGAGACTTGCTAGAGACATTTACTAAAACTACTGCACTGATATGTTGAACAAACTAATTCCCAAAATGCTGTCAAATGCAGTTCTTGCTTTGACTTTCCTCTTGCTGATAATATGCTTATGAGGACAGCGATGACAATGATGTTTGTGGAACACCAGTCCAGCAGTCCTTGCCCGCATTTCTGTAACCTCTGTGCAAAAACCTGCTCAGGTTCTGGGCAGCTGGTACCAGAATTCTGGTTTTTGTAGAGAGGTTTACAGAAATCCCCTTATTTTTAAGCTAACAGAAGTGAGTGTGCTTGAGATTCTGTTTTTTGAGTGCTGGTATTAGGAATGGGAAAACCATGTTTAACACTTCTCAAAGCAGGTAAGAAACCTTTCACATTTTGGTAGCTGTGTTAAACCTGTAAATCTTCTAACTGCTCTGTCGCTTACTCTGTACTTAAAAATTGTGGTCAGATCCTAATAGGGCAACTGTAACGTCCACTGTGGTCCCTGGTTTCTGGTGCAAAACAGAAAGTTAAACTTAGTAATAAGCAAAATCCAGCTGGCTTGCTAGCCAAGAAAAAGAAAAAAAAAAAGGCACCAGACATAATTCCAGTCAGCCTTAAGCAAACAGCACACATAGTAAAGAGACATCCAGAACGATTCTCTGAAGAGAAACAAATTCATGAACTGTTGACACTTTTTGATCCTGTAGCTTTCTAGAAGATCTCTAAAGTATCAATGACTTAGAATTAACTATTAGAACAAAAATAGAATTACTTTGCATTATAAGTGTGCAGTTAGGACTAGGCCTTCACTGTAGTGGCTACGGTCACGCAGCTCTGCTGCGTTGTACAAAGTACCTCAAGTATCCCTGTCCAACTTGCAGTAGGTAAATTAATGGCTACTGCGTAACTGGTAACAGCAAATCATTCTAGATGGCTGACAGAGGTGGAAATAACGGGCTTCACGTGATGCTCTAAGCCTTGTCAAACTACATACTTCAGGGCATAGATTTCTCTGTGCAAGTCTGATGGTAAGAGAAGTCAGAAGTTTTAAAATCCAGGATAAGGGGAGAAGAGCACAAGTACTTCAGTTCCACAGACAGCGCTGCCCTGTGGCTCGGTGCGTTAGTGCCCCTGGAGCGCTGTGTGCAGGCTGGGCACAGAGCAGCTCACGGATCCGGAGCCAGCTGGTGTGGCAGGCTCTGTAGTCAGGGGAATAAAGCTGGAAGTTATTCTGTAAAATACTGTACTTGGCAGTGGCGGAAAGCAGAGCTTTCCTTGAAACTCCTATTTTATTCCAGCTACCATTAGAGAATGGCACTTTCTGTATGGCAGGTGTGTGGCTTTAGGTGTTACGCCATACTGGTTGCTGCTTCTGGACGCAAGAGTACGTCTGCTGGGACTACCTGTGAAAATGGACTGTACCAGGTCACATTTAGACAATCAGATACTCAGGGCCATAAACGTAGAGAGGACTCTGCAATTAATATGACCTGAGCCAGAAGATGGAGGGCCACAGGTTCTACAAATGCACAGTGTGGGACAGCGGCATGTACCTGCTGGCAACAAGTGCCAATGCTGTGCCTGGGCTGAGTTCGCATGGAGCAGCTTGCCTTGGGCAGGGTTATGGACAGGACACAAACCTCAGGTTATGACTTTACACTTGTAAGTAGAGCAGACATGAATTAATGCAAACTAATTTCATCATCAGCTGTTCAGTGCAAGGGAACTGCTTTTTACTTGAAGTTCGCTAAGATGTCACTGAAAATGTTCAGAAAGAGGTGTGCATGATGATCCCTGAAGATCAGTGTTGGACGAAAACGAATCGATCGGTCGCCACAGCCTCCCAGCACGACACCTAAAAGGAGAACAAAATAGGTCCTCTAGTCATCTCCTTCTTTGCCAAATATCCAGACAATGCAGGTCTCGGAATGAGGTTCACCCCTCTGTGGAGGGCCAACAGAAGCTCCCCAGATCACTGCGAACCACACAATGACACAGCACACAGTCAGTGGTGCAAAGGCACCTCAAGCTTCACAGCAACTCAGAAGAACACTGCCAGTGCCTGTAGTTGTTCTGTAAAACACTTGGAATGTTGAGACTAATCCCAACATCGGTGGAAAGCCACCATCCAGCACAGAATTCAAACAGCAACTGAGACCTCAAAGCTGCAATAATACCTCAATCCCAGAACAAGACACAGTAGGTTTCTTTGCAATTTTGTTTTTAAACTTCTTTTTGTTTTTAATTACAGTAAGTTAAAATACTGCTGGCAAACTTCTCCCCGCAGTACTTTAAATGCAGGGTGTCTTTCTACCCTGAAATCAATTAATTCTTTGAAACATTTGTGGGCAGCACAAGTCTGTACCATTGAGCTGAGCTTACCTTGCCTCTAAGCACAGCCTTGGTTTACTGTGACACAAACCGCTTGCATTCTCTCCCTGCTGGCTTCGTTTCCAAGAACAAAAAATATCAATGTCCTTTATACGCTAAAATTTTGGTTTCACAATAGTTAGATGCATTGAGTCTGCTGCTTTCAACAGACATGAGTAACAGCAAAACCTGATGGCAGCAAACCCTGGACCCACACAGTGAGATTCACAAGAATGTCCCCTCCTGATGCCTGGGCTTGTCTTCAGCTGGGTGGGAGTTCTGTAGTAAAACAGGGATGTAGCTGTACATTTATGCCCATTTTAGGCAACTTGTTATATTTCATTATTAGGTGTTCCATAAAACGAGTAGTTTTTCTCCCTGTGTTTTCCTGAGTGACAGTTAAGTTTCTTCTAATTTTCCTGATCTGTTTCTAGAAGTAAGCGATGCCTAGGTGCACCTAAGGTCACTGCAGAGGAATATGAAAGTGATATCACAAAAACTCGTGCCCTACATAGGTTGCTTCCAGTAA